GCGGACCATAGTGAAGCAGATGCACCTGGGGGAGTAGGGCGGACCATAGTGAAGCAGATGCACCTGGGGGAGTAGGGCGGACCATAGTGAAGCAGCGTCAGAGGCTGGTGTGGAGAGCTGGCAGACCTGATGAGCACGATCTAGCATCAGTTGGACTTTTGTCTAATAACACCTGTTTGGTTGGCGTATGTACAGCACTCTTCTCCTAGGAAGAGGTGGCGCCACCTTTTTCTGCCATTAGATCTAGAGCTCGCCTATTTTGGAAAACCATATGGGCCAGTTCGTCCAACTGGAAGGTGAGGCACTGAAGGGTGGGTGCTGACTCTTTGATATGGCTTACAAGGTGATGTTGGAGTGGGACTCTGAGACCCACAGAGGTACCAGTGGCTGCTGTTCCTAGCATGGTGGCTAGGATGGAGGAGGTGAAGAGGACGGCTGCAGGAATGGAGTACTTTCCAGTTTGCAAGTGGGGCCACTGGCTGGGAAACTACTGACATCTGCATGAGCATCTATTAAAAATTTATCCGGCTTGTGGGGCCAGGGAAATGGCACAGTAGAGTAAGTGCCTGCCTGGCAAGCACAGGGTCCTGAGTTCAGTCCCCAGTACCAGGAAAAAAAGTTTAACCGGCTTTCTCCTGATATTGGCAGTTAATATGAGTTTCCTCAGGGGTTGTAGAACTAGGGTGGAGAAGTCTTTAAGGGGGACTTTGTCTCCTGGTTGCACTTGTAGAGGCACTGAGGTAGTCTTTGGTCTTCCTGAGAGGTGAAGACCCATGACCACTTCAGTCTGAAACTTCCTCTGACTCCATCATGAACACTTTCTTTGTTGTTCCTCTCTAGCAGCTTTGGATATTCTTTACTTGAAATGTTCCCTGTATCTGTATCCTTCATTCCTGTAGGCTGCTAGTGTCACTTCTCATTTTCTGTTTATAATTCCATTCCATATTCTTCCTACTATGAAACACCTCCACTCAGACAAATTCATTCTTGCAAACCCTTCTAACTTCTGCAGCTTGTGTCAGGTATCTGGGGCCCACTGAACAAGATATAACTTTTTGGTTTTAAGGCCTCCTGCAGGCAGACGTATTGATGGGCTGATATTGAAGGGATCGTAAATCATAAAAACCCAGTTGCTTGCGGAGGGGGAGGTTGCCATGGAGGAATGAAAACTCATCAGGAAAGAAGTAATGATCGTGAAGGAAGGGAAAGTCATTCTGAGATCTTGGAAAGAGAAGGATCTTGAGAGAACCTGTTTAGTGGGGGACAAGCTGATGCGTGTGCAGTTAGACTTATCCATGCTGAGGGTGGGCTTGTTAGAGTAGTGTCTGGCGGGGACCGTCTGAGTGTGGTAAGATGGACCTAGGAGGACTCTTCCAATAGCTTGGCCACAGAAGGGTGGTGAGGATCACTGGAGGGGCCAGGCCAGCGGGGTTGTAGAGCTGGGGCGGAGATGTCTTTGAGGAGGACTTTGTCTCCTGGTTGGACCTGTAGAGGCACTGAATGTAGTGAGGTTTAGGTAGGCTCTGGTCTGCATGAGAGTAAAGGAGGTTGCAGAGTGAGGAAAGAGTGGGAAGGTAGTTTGCGAGACGGCCAGGCTAGGTGGGAGGGGTCTGGAGGAAATGCGACCTGTCATACATGAGTTTAAATGGGCTGACTCCTGAGGGTTGGTGTGGGGCAAGGAGGGTTGACAGGATGATGGTTCATGCCCATATAGAAGTTAGTGTCAGGTGTCTCAGCTAGAACTAGAAGTTTATTGTTAGTGACGGCTCACATCGGAGACTGAAGAAACCATGTTGCAGAGGCGTAGTATTGATATATTGACGGAGCAGCCCTGGCTTGGAATCAGGTGTTTTGAGATCAGCAGCAAGGGCTTGGCTAAAGAAGTGAGGACTATCTCTGAACCCCTGAGGCAGGACTGTCTATGTGAGCTGCTGAGATTGGAGTGCCTGGGTCAGTCCACGTAAAGGCAAAGAGGTCCTGGCAATCTGGGTGTAAGGGAATGGTGAAGCAGGCCTATGGGCTGGAGTCTCTTGATGTTTGGGGGCTATCAGGTATTGGGGAATGTAGAGAAATGCTGTGGGATCTCTGAGGCACATCAGTCTAGGAACAGTGTGTGTGGCACGAGTGGGACTGGAAGTGTCTCAGAGTATATGATCAACAAGGGAAGAGGGAGGGAGGAGCCAGCTGTACACTGAGGTTGGGTTTGTGGGATGTACATAGTAGGGAGAGAGAGAGGTGAGAGAGTAGTAGGTTTTTTTTTTTTTTTTTTTTTTTTTTTGTGGAACTGGGGATTGAACTCAGGCCCTTGCACTTGCCAGGCAAATGCTTATTCTACTGAGCTATCTCCCCAAGAAGTAAAGTTTTTGGAGGAAGTCTCCCCCTGTGAGAGGTATGGGACAGGTTAGGATCACAAGAAAATTATGAGCGAAGAACAGTGTCTGAAGTCAGCAAGCAATGGGCCTGTCTGAAGGGGTCTTGTAGGTGAGCCATGAACACCCACTGTGGAAACTGTAGAGCTAACATGATGATTTTAGAACTCAGGAAGAACATTATATGTGGTCTCTGTGTTAGCAAAAGAACAGTTTTTTTTGTTGTTGTTGTTGTTTTTTTTACCTGAGATGTCCAGTGAGACTAGGGACTTTGACAGAGGTACCTTGATATGGGCCATGGAATCCAAGCCCTGTTGTTGCTCTTCAGCGGCAAGACCAAGCAGGTCAAGTATTGATGGATCTGGCTGTAGTGAATTTTCCTGTGAGGGCAGGGAGTTAGTGGATAGCTTACCCACTCTGGCGGCTAGGACAGTTGCATTTCTAGTGACCCTTAAGCTTGTAGATGACCCAGTGATGGCTGTAGGTTGGGGCAGGCTCGTGCCCAGTGTCCTTCTTTGCTGCATGTGAAACCATCCAGGAAGGGCTTGGATGGCAGGTTATTTAGGCTCAGCATAAGCCTTGTTAAGGTTTTGCATTGATGGGAGTCTCAAGTGTCACAGCCAAAAGCTGGCACTGTGTATAGTTAATTTTGGTCTCTATTATTGACAACATGGAAAGTTAGATTAAGTAAATTTTCCTGAGGGGTTTCAGGGCTGAGATTTATCTTTTTAGCTTGGCATGAACAGATAAGGATATAAAATAGGAATTAATATACTTGATTATTCGAATTTTATCTGAGTATCGAGTACCTTGAAATACAGTGTATTTCTGGCCAAGTTAAATTAGGATGACCTTTTTAGGTTTGTAATTGTGAGAGACTAGTCAGAACTTTTGTAGGTTATTTAGAAGAGATCTCTTATAAGAAGAATTCAGAAAAAGGTAAAAACCTCTTATTTATGGTTAATATATATATTTAGATCTAATATAGCACATCAGGTTTGAGTGAGAGCAAGCAAAGTGAGCAGAGTGTAAGGATTAGGCACAGCACAACAGAGCAGCACTGACAATGTGCAAGTCCTGGACTTGTAGGCTGGCAGTGAGAGAAGCTGCGCAGTTTATGTGGCTGTACAGACTGTCCATATAGGTGGTTGAGGGGGTGAAGAGAGAGAAGTGAGGTATCACTTTAGCCCCTGAAAGTTGAGAGGTCAGAAGGTGAAGCCGTGGCTGTAGCGGAGGCGCTTGGAGGGGGAGGGGACTGTGGGAGTCTTTAGTGGGACCTGTGGCAGGTGAAAGGAGGAGGGGTGGGTTGATAGGATGAGGGTGGAGGAGACTGGGCAGAGGCCTCTGGGCAGGGGCCTCTAGGCAGGCGCTGAGGGGCGGTCCTCATGTGATTTGGAAAAGATGGGAAGAGAGATTGAGCTCGAATGTCATGATGCAGGGCAAGGAGAATTTGTTGAGGGGGGAACACGAGATAAGAGTTGAGGGTGATTGCAGAGGGCAAGGAAAGCTTGGACATAGGGAGCCATTGGGTCTCATTGTGAAGTTTGTTTTGGGGCGGGAGCCTTGGAGCCCAGGGAATGAGTGATCCACCTCAGGGTTGGGGCCAACCAAGATGTGGGAAGTGAAGAGTTAATTGAGAGGTGAGGAGCTGAAGGGTTGGGGTGAAGAGAGGTAAAGAAGAAGGAGGAAGGAAAAGAGGTGGAAGGAGAAGGGAGAGAAGTCAGAGAAGGTACCCTGTAGAAACTCTTCAGAGAGCCACTGTAAAGGGAGGAGACCGAGGGGAGGGGGAGGGGCTGCAGAAGAATTGAGAGGATAGGGAAATGAACGGGTTAGGAGGGACTCTTGGGGAGAATGGAGAACAATTATGGATGGTGCGACAGAGGCAGAGAGGACACCTGTGGCGGCAATGAAACACGGGCGTAAAAGCAAAAAGAAACTTACAGTTAGAGGCGGTGTGTGGGTGAGAAGTCAGCGGGGGCCTGGTCCGAGGTTCGTGGTCCCCTACAACAATGAGAGGTGGCTCTGCACCTGACAGGACCAAAGGGTCCCCAACCAGGAGGGACTGGCACTGGGTGCCTTGGCATTCCTCCCAGGTTTTTGGCACCAAAATGACAGGAAAATTGTTGAGAAAAGGCACCCTCGAACCCACACAAGACCACACTCATGTTAGCTGGCGCGAAAGGAGTGCTTTATTGACGGCAGCTAGCATGTGCCTGGCTGCTCAGCGGACCTGAACAGCAGCGATGGCTGGGGAGGCACGGACTTTATAGATCAGCGAGCATGTAGGAATGGGGGAAGGTGAGTCATGAAGTGCCCTTCTCTGGGTCGGGGTGTTCTGGGCAGGTAAGAATGGGGAAGGGGAGTCATAAAGTGTCCCTGGGTGGACCAGGGTGTTCTGGGCACAAAGCATAGAGTCCTTGAAGCAAGCTGAAATAAAGCTATATGTGTAATCAGCTGGGCACAGACAGTCAAGGTTAAATCTTTGCAGCACAGTTGTGGTTGGGGTACCCAGCAGAGCTGGAGGCGGTATGGGGGAAGTGGGCCCATGGCTGGGTGCCTTAATATGTCCGAAATCAAATGGCTAGTTAGAGTACAGAGAGTAAAGCCCAGGAATGTTTAACCTCAAAGCCAGTTCTGTTAAATGCACTTCCCTAATGCCTCCGGGAACTTTATAGTCCTACAAAGTATGTCTGAGGAGAAAGCCACAGGACAGAGTTTCTCAATATTTAATTGCATATGAGTCAGGTGGACAGCTTACCAAAACGCATAGTCTGACCAAGTAGTTTAGGTTGGGGACTTGGTTTTCTTCCAGCAAACAAGATCTCTGGGCATACTGATATTGTTGCTCCCTGCCTCTCTCTAGTAGTAAAACTGTAGAAAACATTGACAGTTGATACATAAGAAATACTTCCCATGAAAACTTCTTTGGTGAAAACTCCAGACTTCTATTTTTTCTTTCCTTAGGTGGCCCCGGAGTCCAGCTCTGCATCAGTGAAGTATTGCCCATCCTGGCCAAGATGCTTCATGGCCACAAGGCGGAGCCCTTGCATCTGTGCCACCGGCTAGACAAGGAAACCACAGGTGTAATGGTGCTGGCTTGGGAGAAGGAAGTGGCACATCAAGTCCAAGAGTTGTTTAGAACCCGTCAAGTGACAAAGAAGTACTGGTACGAAGCCCATGGGTGGCAATAAAGGTGGCATAAGCAGAGGCACCCATTTCATCTGTCGTACAGCAGGAACTAGTAACGAAAGTAATCATTCTTAATTATGGCTGCGTAGCAGTGTTACCAAGATTAATTATACCAGAAATATGTGATATCATTCCTGTGCTAAGATTGTCAAACAACAAAGATAAAGTCAAAAGCCCTTGAAAGTTCATGCACTGCCCTTCTAGTTCCGCCTTTTAAGGTAGCAGTCACTGTAAGCAGTTTGGTTTTTAGCCATCTGGTCCTTAATTCATTCACACACATCTAATAATTTATATATAAAAAACGTTATGCAATTTACATTCTCCTTTCTTCCTCCACTTAACTCTGTCTCAGTTGGTACATATAGATCTACATCAGTTTGTTTGTTTGTTTGTTTTAAATGTATTTGGTACAGGGTCTTACTAAGCAGCTCAGATTCATAGTTATCCTCCTGTTTCATCCTCCCTAGTGTTGGAATTGCAGGCATGCACCACCATGCCTGGTATCAGTGGCCAGCTCAGTGTGCCCAGCTCCCCACTTAAACCTCTGAGCCATCTCTGTGGCCCCAGGTTTTTTTTTTTTTGCTATAGAAAAAGAATGCATAAATCAAAGACTCTGTTCTACATCTGTATGATTTCCTTCCTTAGAGGCAATCATTGTTACAGTGTCTTATATAAGGTTTCTAGGGTTATACTGGAAGCATATTATCGTATGACTGCGTATTTTATTTATCGCTTCTTTTATACTCTGCTGTTTTTGCTTAGATCATGTATTTTGAAGAGCATTTCCTGTGGTACACTTAGAACTGTCTCCTTGTAGCTCTGTGGTACTGTAAGGATGGATGTTTAGGTAATTTCTCACTTTATAGAGCCTATAGCTAAAAATGCATGAACATATTTACCTTGGTCTGTGCTCTATTAGTGTGGCAATACCTGATCCTGCATAATTTGTAGCAGGAAAGAACTTTATTTTGGCTGACAGCCCTGGAGGCGGAAAGTCCACAGTGTACTGCTGGTGAGGCCTTTGTGCTGCTTCCACTCAGCAGAAAGTAGAAGGGCCAGGCAGAGAGAAGCGGGAGAGGCAGCCTTGCTGCTGTAACAGCTTGTTCATGTCATAACAGCGAGAGCTCATTCCTTTGAGAATTAGACCATTTCCACCAGAGAAGCATCCATCCCTCTTAACAACCTAATAACCTATTACAGGTCCTGTCTCCCAGCACCGACACAGTAGCAGTTCAGCATCAGCATGAGTTTCATCCAAACCATAGCAGTATTTTTGGAATAAGTTCTTACCAGTGGAATGGCTTAGTTGAAGTGTATGCACACTTAAAATTTTAATAGTATCCAAGTTTTTCTTCAAAAGGGTATGCCAGGGGCTGGTGAGATGGCTCAGTGGTCTAAAGCACCTACTTAGAACAAGCTTAGCAAAGCACAGGGATCGCAGTTCAATCCCCCAGCACCACATGCCAGCCAGCCCCGCCCTCTGGTGGGCTGAGCTGGTCACACACACACACACACACACACACACACACAAATAAATAAAATTTAAAAAAAAAAAAAAGGGTATGCCAGAGTATAATACTATCATCAGTGTTGAGTATTTACCTTCTCTTATGCCAACCAGAGTATTTTTAAAAAGATTGCCATACTGATGTTGAAAAACTTTACTTTTTATTATTTTCTTACTAATTATCTTGCTTGCCTTTTTGTGTGTTTATGTGCTGCTAAAGTTTCCCTTTCTTTGTACCATCAAATTTAAGAACCATTGTAATAGATTATGATCAGAGGATTTCTGTCTTCGTTTTTTCTTGTCATGGAGACACAGTACTCAATGCATGCAAATTCTGGCTTACATAGAAGTTTATAGAGGTTTCAGTTCATAGTGAGCTGGCTGCAAGGCAGAACAGCATGCAGAGGGGAAAGAGCTGATGGCATGGTGTCTGAGCAGGGCACAAAGGAGGAGGGAGGCAGATAGACCTTCCAGGCCACGCCCCAGGGTCCCCTCCTGCCACCAGACTCTGCCTTACAACATCACAAACTCATCAGTGGACTAATCCCTCCATATCTAGTTACTCTCGAAAGCCCCACCTCTGAGCACATGAGGCTCTGGGGGGACATCTAGATATAAACTCTTAACAGTTCTCCACAATCCTTATGATTTTCTTGGTTTAATGCTTAGCTTGAGAGTTGGCTGTTTTCTATAAGCCCCTCTTTTATTTCCAAAATTATGCGTGTGAATTGTAGGATATTTGGGAAAAAGAAAACAAATTATTAATAGATATATAATTAAAAGAAAAGTAGTATGATACGGTTTCGTACCTTTTTTGGGGAGGTTGAGACAGTCTTGTTGTGTAGTTCAGAGTTGAACTCACACGTAGCCTAGGCTGGCCCTGAACTTGTGGCAGCCTTCCTGCCTCAGCCTCTTCATTGCTAGGATCACAAGCATATGCACCACGCTGGTTGTCTCTTTTAAAATAATAAAATTAAAATAAAATAAAATAAAATAATAAAAGATAGTAAGTTTTGATGATATACTTTGGGTTGTTTTTTTTTTTTTTTTTTTTTTTTTTTTTTTGCAGAACCGGGGATTGAACTCAGGCCCTTGTGCTTGCCAGGCGAGCACTTATTCTACTGAACTATCTCCCTGGCCACATTGATCATATACTAAATGAATGAACAAACGCATAAATGAATAAGTGAACCCAGTGAAACACAAGCCCAGTCCTACTCTACTTTCCAGGTAGATAAAACAGGAAGGAACTATGAGGAGAGAAGTCACAGGAACCATTGCTACAACATAGTGACCCATTTCAAACAGCTTTTGTGGGTGATCTACCTCTCATCCCATCACAGGCAGGCACAAGAATTGATAAGAAGTGTTTATGTTGGGGCTGAGGAGATGGCTCAGTGGGATAAGTACTTCCCTGGCAAGCGCAACGGCCTGAGTTCAATCCCTGGTTCCGCAAAAAAATAAAAAAATAAAATAAGTGTTCATGTTAGTGCTCAAAGTCTGGTGTCCTCTAAAAGGCCAGCTCCCAGGAGATCCTCCCTGGCTTCTGTGGCTAACGTAGCTATCTGTGTGTCACCCAGGGCTGTCACTGTACGCGTCCCAGTGCCCTCGGCAGGTGTTGTGGATATCCCCATCATTGAGAAGGAGGTGCAGGGGCAACAGCAGCACCACAAGGTGGGTGAAATGCCTCCAGGCGGCTGGGGTTTCTGGTCTTTTTCAGAAGTCTCATCTTGCTTTATTTGACTTCAGATGACATTAGCCCCGAGGTACCGCATGGACAACGGGAAAATGGTGAAAGTGCGGACCAGCCAGAATGCCCAGGTTGCTGTAACTCGGTACCAGGTGCTTAGCAGCACTGTGTCCTCTGCGCTCTTGGAGCTCCAGCCTGTGACCGGTAGGCATGCCCCTGTTCTGCAGGAGGGTGGCTTCCACACTTGGTCCAGGGCCTTGTGCTGCCTCTGGCCTTGATCTGAGCTTCTGGCACTGTGGGTGGGCTGAGAGTCTAGCATACTTGTGTAACTATGTGCTTGTGTTGATCTGACGGATGATTGTGGGTAGCAGTCTGAATACCTTTGTTTGAAAATGTATACAGCAATTCCTTGAAAAAAATTACCCTATCCAGGAAACATACTTTTGGAGATATATGTACATCTCTGCAAAAGAATCAAAAGCCGATAGTTGCTCACTCATGCTCACAGCAGCATCAGTTACAACAGCTAGAAGGTGGAGACAACACAAATGTCCATGAATCGAGGAAAGAATAAAACAGAATATGGTAAATGTGTATGAAGGGACATTATTTTCAGCCTTAAATGGATTAAAGGAAATTCTGAGTCTGCAACAACATGAATATATTTTGAGGACAGTGTGCTAGGTGAAGTAGGTCAGGCGCAGGTGTCATATACCTGAGAGACAGTGATCAGATGTGGAGTGCAGTGGGGTTGCTGAGAGCTTCCAGGGGAGGGAGGCGAAAGGGGTAATAGAGCTGTCAATGTTTAATCGGTATAGAGCTTCATTTTGGGAGTAGGCGAGATTTAGGATTTTTTCTTCTTCTTCTTCTTTTTTTTTTTTTGTGAAACCAGGGATTGAACTCAGCCCTTGCGTTTGTCAAGGAAGCGTTTATTCTACTGAGCCATCTCCCCAGTCCCTGGGAGTATGAGAGAATTGTAGTGATGGATGATGGTGGTGGCTGCAAAACTGTGGTGTGTACCCAGTGTCACTTAACTTAAAAATGGGTAAAATGGGAGATATTTGCAAATATTTGCATATTTTATCAGTTTTAAAACTATACAAAACAGTACTATTTATCATTATGTAGTAAAATTATAAATGTTAGGGTAGTGGTAGAGACCACGTTCATGTTGAAGGTTGTTTAAAGTAGTATTAATGTTTCCTTCCTAATCAGGCCAGTGCTGCATAGCTTTTTTTTTTTTTTTTAATTATTTTATTTATTTATTTATTTATTTATTTATTTATTGTGTGTGGCCAGCTCAGCCCACCAGGGGGCAGGCAGGCTGGCATGTGGTGCTGGGGGATTGAACCGAGGTCCCTGTGCTTTGCTTGGCTTAGCTTGTTCTAAGTAGGTGCTTTAGACCACTGAGCCATCTCACCAGCCCATAGCTTATTTTTTAATACCTTACTGGAGTAAGAGCTTTGCCAGTTTAATGTGCTTTGATTCAATATGATTTGGAGCAGATGCCAGCTCTAATATTGTTTCTGTTGCTTATAATTTTTTTTTCTTTTCTCTAATTCTTTCTGAAGGCATAAAACACCAGCTTCGAGTTCACCTGTCTTTTGGGTTGGATTGTCCAGTCCTTGGTGATCACAAGTACTCAGACTGGAATAGGTTAGCTCCTCAGGTAATACCAGTTTAATCAAATGTGCGTCAGAATAAGGGAAAGAACCTGTGCTTTCTTTTCATTAAACAAAAGAACTCACCCTGAAGTGAGTCATAACAGGTAAGTATTGATGGACTCCAGACGTGGTGCCATATTGGTTATCTAGCTTTAGAGAATTCAGCAGCAGTTACTTATTGTCATGGACTGCAAAAGCTATTAGCAAAGCTTTACTGTTTCACGTGTTTGGTTTGAGATTTTTGTTAGGAGGCTGATGTTTCTGCAACTTAAAGCCAACTTTCATGCTAGTTTATGAAACATGATGACATCTTTTTTACCCTTTAATATTTTAGCCAATTCTCTTGGAAAGGCAGAACACTAACCAATAAGAACATCTTCGCAGTGGTCTCCTACCTGGGTTTTGAGTCCTTCCTGTGTGTGTCCCTGAAGAGGGCTCCCTGTTCCTGGGTCTTCCCGGGCTTAGTGTTGATTCCCTAAGTGAAGATCTTTGTGTGCTGAAGTGTGGATCATTGGTCTTGCCTTCAAGGGTCTGTCTTTTCTTTGTGTAGAAGCTTCCTGGTGGCACCCTAAAGAAACTGGGGCTGCAGCAATCAAAGACTCGCTACATCCCTCTGCACCTGCACGCCCGGCAGCTGATCCTGCCTCCCCTGGGGTTCAGGAAGGAGGAACTCCAGTTGGTCTGCAGGCTTCCTCGATTCTTTGTACATTCCCTACGCCGTCTGGGTTTAGGAATGCCAAATCAAGAAGAAAATGGACACAACGAAGCCAGGCCGCTGGAAGCACAGTGAAAACATTGAGCAGTTTGGCCCCTGCACTCTTTGCTTTGTTTCATGGACATTTCTAATGCCTCACTGGGAACAGACTCCAGGAGAGCCAGGTGGGATAAGTTGAAGAAACCCAGCTGCTTCTGGGCTTTTAATGGAGAATAATGTCTATTTACTGAGAGTTTGGCCACCCTGTAGGAAAGCTGGCTGGCAGTGTCCCCACCACACAGTCTCCTTGCCAAGATGGAAGTGAGCCCAGGAGGAGGCATATGGGGGCAATAGTTGGAAAAGGAGATTTAAAGGATAAACTCTGTGGTCAGAGACTTTTCATCCAACAGGAAAGCTTTTGATCTGTCAAGAGGATGCCCATAGTTGGAAGGACCATAGCAGTTAAACACAGATCATGGAATCCTTTCCATAGGAAAAACTTAGTATGTGCAAACCATACCTGTGGTTTTAGGCATCTGTTGAGGGTCTTAGAATGTATCCCCTTTGGTAAGAGTAGGCCTGGTAAGAGTAACAGACCTTTCTCAGCCTTCCCTATTTTTATGCTATTACCATGAATTTAAAACAACAAATGAGATGACGCTATTTGTTTATGTAAGACCTAAGTATTTTGGCTGTTTTTTGTGTCTCCAATAAACCAAGCTTGAGACAAGAACGTTATACTTAAGAGCTGTTGATAATTGACTTTGCTTTAGGGAGATGTGAGCAGTAATGCTCAGAAGAGTGGAGAGTAAGCAGTATTAGAAGAGCGGGTGGTGGAAATAAGAGAATTAGAAAATACAGAAAAGGAGTGGGCTAGTCAGAGAACATTAGAAAAAAGACTTAGACTTTATATCTTCCTTTATCTTTTTTTTTTTTGGCAGAACTGGGGATTGAATTCAGGCCCTTGCGCTTGCCAGGGAAGCGCTTATTCTACTGAGCCATCTCCCTGGCCCCCCCTTTTTTTTTTGGCAGAACTGGGGACTTCCTTTATCTTGTGTTAAATCTCCTCTTGATGTGGATATTCATTCTTTAATTTGGCTGAGTACTGTACTGAAAGTACCTGTAGGCATTCACTCATCTTCAGAGTTTCTCCTTAGGTGGAGAAATGTGATTCGCTACGTGGTGTGGGCACAGTAGGTGCAGGGCACCTGAGCTAGCGGGAGCCACAGAGCCTGTCGGAGAACTGTCTGTGTCACGAGCCTGCTCAGCGTCTTGTGAACTCTGCACTGCTATTCTTCGTGATCTTTTTGGCTCCCCTGGGGCGGGTTTTGTGTCTTGCTGAGCTGGGAGCTAGCACGCTAGGGCTTTTATTTGAGTTTGGAGAATTCCTGAGCTCCCCGGGAATGAGCAGTCTCCACGTGGGACGTGAGCAGAGGTGTGCTCTCCAGCACTTTTCCAGACCTCAGAAGCCAAATTCAGCAGTTTTATGTACCCCGCCCCCCAGAGCCGGCTTCCTCATCCAGTGAGTCGTAAGATTTGGGGGTGGGTTGAATCAGAGGTAGGCTGTAGATTTTAGTTAGTCCAAATAAGCTGAAATATTATGATGTGTTTTTGGTGAGCCAAAAGGGTGCTTTAAAAAAAATAAGTTTATATTGGAAGTAGTTTTTATTTATACATATGAAATACTCCTTTTGAAAACAAATAGAAGGGGCCGGGGAGATGGCTCAGTAGAATAAGCACTTCCCTGGCAAGTGCAAGGGTCTGAGTTCAAGCCCCAGTTCCGCAACAAGTAAATAAATAAAATGTAAAAGCATACCATAAGAAACTCAGATAAAAGGTTATCTACTTAGTTACCATCTCTAGTTGGTGGGGAGGAGACCCTCTGAGCCTCATTATCCCTCCTCAAGAGGGATCTGTGTTGAATACGCAGTAGATATGTGCAGGGCCAGATCGAGGGTTGGCACGCCCGGGTGACACTGCTGTGAATGTGTAGGGATGGCAAGGTGTGGGGTCTGCTTCCTACGCTACGCCACCTGGCAACAGGCGGGGGACCTGGTCTGTTTAGCTTGAAGCCTGGTAGGTTGCAAAAAGAAACCCGCCGCGTGTCAGATGCTGTTAGATGCACAAGTGAGCAAGACGCTGGTGTGAAAAAGTGAGCACTCAGGTGTGGTGCCAGTAGGTGGGAAGGCCAAGCCAGAATTGCATGTTTGAGCCCAGCCTAGGTAACTTAATGACTTAGCCAGACCCAGTCTCAAAATAAAAGGAAAAAAATTGGAATGTAGCTGAGTGCAAAGACCTGGAGTTTGATCCCTAGTATTGTTTAAAAAAAAAAAAAAAATCACTTCTCAGGATGTTCAGAGCAGGGTCAACAGGCATTGTCTGTAAATAGCCCAGTAGTAAATATTGTAAGCTTTATAGTCCTTGTCACAGCTGTGCCATATGGAGTGAAAATAGCCCACACAGTGTGTAAATTAGCAAGACTGTGTCCCAAAGTAGTTTTCTTAACAGATTCTGCAATATGTAATTCTTTATGTTTTGAGACAGTCTTACTATGTAGTTCAGGCTGGTCTTGAGCTCACTGTGTGATCCAGGCTGGCCCCGAACTCAAAGCAATCCTCCTGCCCCAGCCTCGAAGGTGCTGCGATTATAGGTGTGCACCGTGTACCCTGCTCATGATTCATATAATTTTCCTTTGTCTCCACATGTATTATCTCAGGCTGCCGTAGCATTTTTTTTTTTTTTTTTTTTTTTTTTTTAACCATTCTGGAGGCTGAAAATGTAAGATCAGGGTGTGAGCAGGGGGCAGGTCTAGTTTTTCTCTTTCATTTTTTTTTAGACTCATTATATAGTTTAGGCTGGTCTTGAGTTTTATTTTATTTGGTACAGGGTCTCACTATGCAGTTTACACAGGTGTGTGCCACCACACCGGGTTTCAGGGCCCAGGGTTCTGGGGCCAGCATGGCATTTGGTACTGGGGATGGAACACCGGTCCTTGTGCTTTGCCAGGCAGGTGCTTAGACCCCTGAGCTGTCTCCCCAGCCCATGGCTGATGTTGAATTTATGGCAATCCTCCTGCCTCAGCCTCCCGAGTATGGGGATTATGGGCCTGTGCCACCACATCTAGCTCAGTCTGGTTTTTCCTGAGGGCTCTCTCCTTGGCCTGCAGATGGCTATTCACCCTCTGCCTCCTCGCCAGGAGTGTTTCTGTGCACGTGCACCTCTAGTTTAGCTCCCTTATATGAAAACTAGCTGGAGTGGATCAAGGCCCTACCATTGTGGGCTCACTTGGCCTTAATAATCTCTTTATAGGCCCTGTCTCCAATCTTGTCACATTAGGACCTTTAACATCAGAAATTAAAAAAAAAAAAAATTATTTCATATAAGAATTTTGAGGGCAAGAGCACAGTTCTTTTTTGTTTTTAATATAGGGTCATGCCGCGCAGCTCAGACTCTTAGTGATCCTCCTGTCTCAGCCTCCCCAGTGCTGGGATTACAGGTATGAGCCACCACGCCTGGTTTCGGTGGCCAGTGTGGTGTACCCAGGGTTAGAGGCTGGCATGGCGTGTGGTACCAGGGATCAAACTCAGGACCTTGTGCTTACTTATGCCGCCAAGCTATCTCCCCAGCCTAAGAGCACAGTTCTATTGTAACATCAAGTATGATTGTTCCAATTCCCCCCTAATCATTTATAAAATATAAAAACCATTCTTCACGCAACTGAGGAAACAACCTAAAGAAATGTCACTTTGCTTTTAGTTGACTTAAAAAGATGCTACTTTTAGAGGTCATGCTACTGAGCAATGTGTGATTAGTTTCCCACCACCTTTGCTGATGCCACTGGTGGTTCTGGTTGCCTAGGTGACTTTTCAGGGGCTTGAAGGACATTTTTGCTGCAAGCACTGACTCTTCAGCTGGGCCTATGAAAGTATCCAATGGTGATTAGAACAGTGAAAGGGCTTGGCAGCTCTTCTTTCTTATTGTATCTGTCTCCTTTGCTGCCTTAACATCTGAGGGTCAGATTTCTGCTCAGCTCTGCAGACAAGTTGATCACTGGGGAAATGTTTGTTCGGGACTAATAATACATGACTGATCTGCCCTAAATTTAGCTAGTCTCTCTCCTCCCTTTGAAGGCTGAAGACAGCAAGATAGGGCTGGGGAGAAAGCTTAGTGGTCTAAGCAACCGCCTGGCAAGCGCAAGAACCCGGATTCAATCCCTGGTACCACATGTCATGCTGGCCATGGGAACCGGGTGTGGTAGTGCATGCTTGTAATTCCAGTGCTGGGAAGGCTGAGACAGGAGGATCACTATGAGTCCTAGCTGCGTAGAGATCCTATAACAAATATGTAAACAAATAAAAAGTTTTTTTTTAAATCTATTATAAAAAAGATAGCAAGGTAGAAGAGACATTTTCGATATTTACAAACTCACAACCTTGGGATTTCCTCTGGACCTACTCCTAGGTTTCCCTTCTTCCCATTCCAGGTCATCAGAAAGTCACCTAGGAGTCTCCAGTCATCAGTCCTTTCTTAAGCCTCCTTTTCCCCTTTGCCTCAAGGTGAAAGGAGCTTGAAACTTAGGCCGAGGGAGGGTGATCTTTATTGGCAGTACTCTGTCACCTTCTCATTTTGCTGGCTGAGTTGCTTTTTCCGCACCCAACAGTTTATCTTCAGGGCAGCAGGCCCTTTCTGAGCAGTGCAGTGAACAGACTTGGTGTCCTGGCTCGTGTTTGGCTGTCCCCCTGAAGCCGCCTGCAGTCATGGGGGTGCTTTCAGAATTGGCTGGATCGAGTGTGTCTGGTGCCAGGATCCAGGCTGTGTGCTTACTGGATCAGTCCACTGGCTGCTTTGGCACTCTCCCGAAGCTCCCGAGCCGAGACAGAATCTAAAAGTGGCAGAAGACTCATGGCCTTGTTTCTCTGCTACCTTCTACCTGCCATGAACTCTTTCTCCTCTTCAGTGCCCCTCTGCCACACTACCCTGCCTTGGAGCCAGTAGATTGTGGACTGAAACCTCTACAGACTGAGCCAGATAAACCTTTCTTCCTTTAACTTTTGGTGTCAGGTGTTTTGTCTCAGCAATGACAAAAAGTGACTAAGATTCTTGAGTCCAGTAACTACAGACCACACAAAAATGTGGTGGAGTCTGTTCAGCCCACAGGCTGTACTTTGGCCGTTGTTCCTATCTCTATTAAATTGTGCTTCTCAAGATAAAAGAACAAGACTATGGCACCTAGGAAATATGAATTGACTTTGATTTGGGGAGACAGATGAGAAGAGCCCCTAGTGTAGTAGGTGTTAAGAGAATTCTCAGGTACCCAGGTAAGAACCCCCCAGGGCTCAGGTAGTAGTCTTCATCCCATGCTCTGGATACAGGGAAGAGACAGGCTGTGACCGAATGGAAAGCTTTGCAGCATTGTGGTAGTCGTGGCTCCTTGAAGGACTCCCACTGTGTGTCCACAAAGCTCTCTCTTTGCATTCTGAGATCTCCCAGGTTATGGCAGAGCCAGGTCAACTTGGAGGTCTCTGTGTGTATGTTCCTGACTTTCTGTCTGTGACATTGATCTTCCCTTGAGATCTAGGTCTTTACATCCATCTGCTGGTGGTGTCTCTCCTTGGGAGCTTCCCAGCAGGTCCTCTGCATCATGGCCAAAGTGCTTATCACCTATCTCCCAGACTGTTCCTCATCTTCTGTCACCTGTCTTAGTTAAATGCTACCACTGGCATCCTGGATATCACCCT